TACATACGATAATTTCACAGCTCTCTTGAAATTCATATTTTACAACTTTACCTAAATGATTATTAAGTTGCCTTTATTAGTTTAAGATAGTTTCAAAAGTCTTATCATTTCTTTTTGGTTGTTTGTGTTTCCGACAGGGTAGGAGTATGATGTATTGTGGAACGATTTTCCGTCATCCCAAATTTGACAAGGGATGACGGAAAATCGTTCCACAATACATCTTATCATTTCCTATCACAGACATTCAAGTTACATTTTCTATATACATAAATAAGTAAATATGTACATTTATATACATATACTAAAAAATATATACATACATACATATATAAAATAAATTAAGATATTTTCCATTTGGTATTTGTCTATACGTATGTATGTTATAAAAATGTACTAAAATCTACAATATGAATATTTGTTCTCTACAGAGTAGCGAAAGTGATTATTACATACTACCACTGCCGGATAGCTCTGAGTGCAATAGGCTCTTATCGAACAAAGGAATCAATTTCCGGTATGACACAATCATTTACGTATTCGTATAAACGATAATTATTTTGCTAATTACCTTCTCTTTTCAGTCTCTTGATGTTTTTGCTTAATAAATAAATAAATGTTTACTACTTTATTTATATTTGCAAAGAAATGATATAAGTATATATATATATATATTTTTTCGATTCAATAATATTTCATAGTTTAAGCTATGTTTTACATATAAATAAGTCGTTTATAATACTTAAAGTTTAATTCATTAGGTACGCATTGATTTGAAGCGGGTAGCAGTTAGAAAAAGGGTAAATTGGCGCACTCGAGTTGTCAATCGTCGTAAAACTGCTATACGTTGAATTTTATATTTTGTATACATATATCTGAATCGTTTATATTGAAAGTGGCATAAGTCATTTCCACCTCTTAATAAAACACAATGGCAAAACATACCTTTGGCTGATGAAGTTGAATGAATAACAGATGCGTTGAGATACAGGTAAATGATCGCTGAAGTCAAATGGTATGAAATGACTTATGCCACTTTCAAAATAAACGGTTCATATGCATGTATTGAGAGTGTTCTATCAAAAGCGTACATATACATACATATATTTTTATTATGATAATTTGTCCACTAAAGTTATATACATAAATATATATATATTTTAAGTGAAACTAAAGTTAAACTAATATTTACACACTCATATATGTATGAATGTACATCCAAATACACATATATATGTAAGCGCATGCTCGTACATATAAAAACATGTGGACAAAAGTAGAAAAAGATGCTAAAAGTTTCGTCGAACACGAATACACGTAACACATCTTAAAATTACTATAGTTCAAATTAAAACAAAAATGTTCTTTGACGTAAACTCAAAGACGAACTAGGTTTAGAAAAATAAAGCCGCCATGCGTTTTCATTTAATATGCCTTCACATATTCTACTATATATAAATATTTAAATGACAATTGATTTCTAAAATTTTGGCTGCTTAAAGGCGGGGTCCATCGTTCTAGTTAAGAACTTTTATTCCATATAGTTGTTGTTGTGTTTCTCTCCCAATTCGGAGAAGGAGAGCAACTGAGAAAAGTTCTGAACTCTTTTGAGTTGTTAACTGAACTTCAGCTTTAGTTACGAACATTTTTGATATTTCCATAATTAATTTCAGTTCTGAAAACTTTATAAATTTATTTCAAATTACTTAAAAGGAAAAATTAAAATTGGCAAAATACCTTCAAATTTCCAATTGCTAAAGTTGTAACTTTGACAGCACGAACTATAGAATGAGTGATGAATCTACCTTCAGACCCTTCTCTTCGTGAAAGAGGATGGGTAAGTGAAAAAACCAGTGAACCAGAACGATAAATCCACCTTAAAATTAATTCTTACTTACATACATTATGTACCTTCAGTATCTTCTCCAACCACAATTCAATAAACATACTTCTAATTTTCTAAGCGTTTGTCGTACTGCAATAATTATTTTCTTTTCATAATCGTTGAAGCTTAAGTTATGTATACACAATTCTTGTTTACACTTGATAAATTAATAAAAATAATCGAGGGTAGAATTTCATATGTATGTGTAAGGATCTCAACATCGCTATAACAAAATAAATTTAGATCAGCGTAATAAGAAATAATAATTAAAAGTAAATATAATTGCATATATTTAATCTTCAAATAAAGTTAATAGCTAAAACAATAATATTAATGTACCAAATAAAAATTCATTTGTATACACACATAGTACGTACATACAAATCAACACACATTGTCATTATAATGAATGCAGATGTTCACTTTCTTCTCGCATAACATACACCATAGCGTACATGCATACACACATACATAGGTCAATGTACTGTAGATTGTACACTGCAGCGCTTATAAATATTAATAAATAAATGTATTACATACAAATTTAATTTGTAATGCTTCTATTAAAACAATAAGGATACCCGTGTCGATAAGTCACGTCACTGTAAGAGCCAACACCACTCGATAAGTTCTAAAATGACAAATGACACAAGTCGTCAACTATTAAATCATTAATTAGTAAACTCATATGATTTTTTTTTTTCTGCATCACTTGAGTACATACATACATACATATGTGTTGCAAAATTTTCAACGGTTAGCAATATTCGAATTTCTATTACAGCTTTATGAGTTCATCAATTTGTTCACAGTTCGTTGGAGTTTAGGTTTACACTACTTGCAGTTACCAATTTTTTGCACTCGGTTCAAAATTAGACGTTAGTTCATCTTAATCACAGTATGAAAAGAAAGTCACAATCACTCAGTCATTCCCTTGAAATATCTGTGTATCCCGAAATTAGATATCTAATAGTGGAAAAATAAGTCACAATTAACAAAAAAAACAGATCTCGGCTAAAGAACCGGTAAACGAACTGTGAACTATTTGCTTGGCGTCCAATTTCAGAAGAGAATTTGACTTTTGCCGGACATACATTGGGTACATCGGGGCTAGTCTGGTTAAACAGGAGTTTACGTGGGTATCTCTTGGCAATTGAAGCTCTTCTGCGATTGTGCTCGATGACGGCATTCACAGGACGGTAGTTACTGAAGGTGGCGGCAGTCTCCCGGTGAATGCCGTTTATTGCCTGCCTATACAGTGCCGGTTCCAGTGTTCGTGGCGTGTAGTCCTGGACCTGGTCCTTCAGTTCGTAGAGGTTCCGCCTCAAGCAAGTGCATGTTTAGGTGCTCACATCTCTTGCAACCTTCTAAGAGCTGCTTGCTGAGCTCCCTTACTGGCAGCATTAGGGCCTCGCATCTAACTACTCGGCTACAGTTGCCGTCGATCGGCTAGTGAGAACGCGTAAAAAGAAAATTTCTATCATTCGTTGGTGTGCCCTTTGAAATAGTGTAAATCGATGTAAACTAGATAACTTTAACAAAATGGGAATTCGGTAGAATTTATTATGTTTCTCCTAATAAACTATGAAGCAATCAATTTCAAATTCTCTTCATACTGCATTTCCAAATAATTTTATTGTTGCATTCATCCAGTCAAAAACTATGTAAATTTCCGCGTTGCACCTTTCCAAACTAAACAAGTTTCAATAAATACGTAGTAAAGAGACTATAAACAAAAGTAATAAAAAGAAAAATTGTAATGTTAAATTAATTTTTCTCTTTCGCACCTGAGCATAATTACATACATACATACATATAACATTTAGTCTGAGAATACTTTGTAGATCTAAACACGTTAAAACAAAAAAAAATCAAACAATGTAAAAAACAGCAAAAAATAAATCAAAGAAATCTTCATTACAAAAGTAAAATCCTTGATAAGACAAGTTTCAATAAAGAGAAATAAAACGAATTTTATCTATTTGTTTTTAATTAACCCGCCCATTATGAATTTCCATACGATAGACGATAAACGTTTGTAGGCGTTTCGTATGACATTAGTTTTCATATTATCTTTTCATATGCCCGACAGATGTATTAATTTGAATGTCTGTGAGTTTTGTTCACTTTTTATCGTTAACCAACACAAATCAGCTACGCTAACTTTCAGATTTGCTACGACAAACTTCGTTTCGTAATAGGGGATAACAGAATGCAAGCGTTTATTGTGCATCCTACGAATTCATAATAGGGGTAAATACATATGTATATACATATCGCTACCTTAGAGTAAAAAATTGCACACAGTCACAATTTAAAACTTGTACAGGAGAGGAAAAAACTTCTTATAGCCATTTTCTGTAAGTATTTCGCAAAACTTTGAATACAACATTTTGTAAAGCAGCACTCCAAACGAATTAGAGGGATTCGATCTTTTTTAAAATATTTCGTACTATTTTGGTATTATCGAATTTTCAGAGCTTTTCTTGGACTTAGCAAATTTTCCTTTCATTGAATATAAACGAGAAAACATAAAAAAGGACCTTTACCCTTTTCGAAACGATGCATTTTTAATTTCTCTAGCCTGATGTATCAAAATATGTGTTTTCATGAAGAGTGGACTTAACAACTTTTCACTCTAAGCTAGCGATATGTAGATGATTAAGTTAGAATCGGGGAATCTTTACTCTCCTGAAAATTCTAAGCAAGCAGCGATTTGATAAACAGGAAGGCTATTCAATAAAATGTTTGAAATGCTTTTTTGCTAAAACCCGTTTCGCGAAGAGAGCTGAAGATTTAAACTATTCTTCAATCCAAAAGACCAGAATTGACATGTTTTCTGATCTGCATATCCACGTTGATTTTGATCTTCGTGAGTCCTGAGAATCATTTTACCAATAATAAATAAAATTAGTTTAAAAAACTAAAAGCTCGCTATTAAAATTTACCATTCGTACTGTCATCGGGTTACTTTAAAAAGGAAGTTTAAAGCAATTCCCATTCGTACTGTCATCAGGTATGTAACTTGAGAATGGAAATCGCTGCATCTTTTAGGCGCATCAATATTACATAGTTACATCCCCAGCTAATAAAAGCGTGGTAAAAATAGATTAACTTATTTTAATATATGTACAATATAGATTTATTACACCATAAAATTTATATTACAATTTACTCATCAATAAGTCCATGTTTATATTTAATATGATAAGAAATAGCATCACGTGGATTTTTTTTGAAATCTGGATCTTTAAGTAAAGCCTGGTAGGATGAGACCTGTCTTATGAATTTCTCCTTTTTCTTTTTTAATTTTTGCTTAACATTCAGTTTCTTTTCCTCCCTTCCTTTTTGATTACTCTGAGTAGATTCATCAATGTTTTTTATACCGGTTTTAATATCCGACTTTTGTTTGCTCAATTTGAAGAGCTCATCTAAGGATGGCAGCGCGTCCTTTAAGGGCTTCAAATCACCAATCACAGCAGTCTTTTCACGATTTTTGCGCGCAGCTTCCTCCTTCCGTTTCTTTTTTAGTAATGCAAACTTATTCATAAGTTGTTTGTG